GACTGGGATAATCATTATGGATGTATCAGAGACAATGCGAATGGCACAGGACAGAGCAGAGTTTAGGGCTGTTGTAAGTAGGGTCGGTATGAATCGCAAGCGACTCGACAGCACATAACAACCACCACCACCACCTCTGGGCAGCTTCTTGCCACTAGGTCACCAGAACTCCCTAATGTTTCTTTTTAAATTGAGTATAGGTTTACGAATTATTTTGGTTTTTCATTTATCCATCCATTCATACACATTTTGCTTTTTTAAAAATTTAATATTTGATAGAAATAGACAAATTTCCAAGTTTTCTCATGTACCGTTTCACATTTTGCTTTATAATATTAATACAATTCGCTAATATACACCCTTGGTACTAGCAGTCAGGAAATAAGGAGACAGATTGCACTGGGAAAGTCTGCAGTTAGGCAACTTTTCAGGTTGTTGTTAAGTGCTGTCGAGTCGCAGGCGACTCATATCGACCCTATGAAGGAGAGTCCTCAATGCTTGGGTGCCTTTCATCCTCTCTCCAGGTTCATAGGGTTTCTGGAGGCAAGCTATTAAGGAAGTGGATGCCACTCCTCCTACCAAGCTTGTTTTAATCAGGGAGCTCCACCCCAGGCTCTGTCTGCATTGTGTAACCAACCTTTAATGCATTTGACACATCAGTGTCACAGTGTTCAGCCTCACAGCTACCACAAGTTACCCAGCTTGTGCACCAGGGCTATATGACCTATGGTACATCCTTAAATTTTTCAATGTCAATTCTTTTGGGTAGAGTGTTGTGGTTTTGTTTTTTCTCCATTTTCTTTTGATGCTTCCTGGATCATTCAAGATTGTGTACATAGCATCTCTCTGAGGGAAGCTGACTATCAAATTTAATAATAGTAGACCAAATGCTGTATCAGGAAATGAGGGAAGCTTAATACAAGCTGAAGGTCACCTTTTGGCATTGGGGCGTTCCCTAGGAGTTAACATTGTTCTTAGTTTGTGTCAAATGAACCCCTCCCTCTTGAGATTAGCATAAAGAGGAACTGGGCCTTGTCTGTAAAAGACTTCACCATTATCCTTTGTTTTTGCTTTGTACTTCCTTGTGATTTTACTTTGCTTTACCTTCCTTATGATTCTAAATAAATACTCAGTAGCATGGCGTGGGGCCTTCAGTCATGGGAACTGTTGGCCCCCTGTTTTTCACACTCTCTGTTCTATATCATTCCTGATAGTCTGTCTCATTATTAATTATAAAATTATTTCATTCTTTGGGACCTTCGGTCTGCAACATCTCTCTGTATTACAACTCAAGGCTTGAATATTTCTCAACTTGAGAAATGCTGAGTGAATTCTTCCCTATGCTCTGCCTCCAGCTCTCTGCACATTTTGTTATAATATTTTGCTTTGTCTTCTCACGCTGCCCTCTGAAACCTTTTTAGCTCTTCAGTTCAGCATCTCTTCCTCTTGTTTTGGCTTCTCAACACTAATGCAATTTTCAATCTCTTCTGACATTTTGGTTTTTCCTTTCTCCTCCTTCTTTGTAATGACCTTTTGTTCTTTTCATGGATGATATCTTTGAGGTCCTCACACAGTTTCTCTGGAGGAGTAATGATGTCAGTTTGAGGACTAATGTGCATCTGTTTCAGGCCATAGTCTTTCCCATTACTTGCTATATATCTGAGCTGGATAATGAATAAGGCTGACAGAAAAAGAATTGGTGCTTTTGAGCTGTGGTGTTGGAGAAGAGCACTGAACATCCATCCCGTGGACGGCTAAGAGAAGGAACAGATATGTCTTGGAGAGGGTGCAGCCAGCGTGCTCTTTGGAGGCAAGAAGATGAAGCTTCACCTCACATACTTTGGGCATGTTGCTAGGAGGGGCTATTCCTTGGAGAGGGACGTAGTGCTGGGAAATGTGGAGGGTTGGTGAAGGAGAGGAAGACTTTTGACCAGGTAGATCGACATGGTGACTGCTGCAATGGGCTCTTGTGTGTCAGGAAGTGTGAACATGGCACAGGATAGAGCAGGGTTCACATCTTTTGTTCATAGGGTTGCTATGAGTTGTACTTGACTCAACAGCACCTAATAACAACAACAGCAACAGCGATGTAATTAATAAGGAGCTCTCGTGACCTAGTGGTATGAATCTGTGCTGCAATCCCAAGGGCATGCCGTTTGAATCTGTGAGCAACTCCACAGAAGGAGGATGGACAGTCTCCTTGTGTATTTATTGCTTCTGAAAGCTTGCTGAAGGGTCAGCTATGACTGTCCCAACTATAACAACAATGTAATTAATTATGTCTGATCAGCTCCTTATTATATATTTTACCTCATCCAACTTATCAATTTTTATTCCTCTCTCCTTCCCCCATCCTTGGTAACTATGCAAGGATAATTTTGCATTATAAACTTTTCCTTAGTTTTTTAATAATAGGGGCCTGTGAGTTCTGCCCCTCCACGTAATTCTGTCTAGATTTTTTTTTCCATGGTGTAGTGTTTGAGGAATTCCTTATCATTCTTGTAGTTTGGCATAATGTTCTTGTGTGAATGTACCATAGTTTCAGTAGCCCTTCATCTGTGGATGAAAACTTGGGTTATTTTAGGTATTACAGATAATGCTGCCATGAGTATGCACGTACCTGTTTATGTTCTAGGTCTTCCTCCTTTGGGAGAATTAATTTTTTTTTTATGATGACTTCAAATGAGGAGAAACAACTGCAAACATCAATTACTAATTGGAACATTGAATGTACAAAATATAAATGTAGGCAAATTGAGAATTGTAAAAGATGAAATGGGATTTGACGGTACACTCACACAAAAATAATAATAATAAAAAAAAAGATGAAATGGAATTTGTGAAGATCAGTTTCCTAGGCAAAAGTGAGCGGTAATAGACTGGTATCGGTTACTGGACAATCTTCTGGTCTGTTGTGCCTGGCATGGCAGATCGAAGAGCGATGGTATTGTGTTCATCGTCAAAAAGAACATTTCACATTTATCCTGAAGTAGCAGATCGTGATATACATACAAATACACACACACACACACACACACGGAAGACTCCTTACTATGTCAGTATCACTCAATTTTGTGCCCTAACCATTAGAGCCAAAAAAATGAAGACATTGAGGATTTCTCTCATCTTCTATAGTCAAAAATTGATGATTGGAATGCAGAAGTTGGAAGCATTGATGACTAAGCCATGATATTTTCTGTCACCTCGTATTTTGCACACGCTCACTAAAGCAGGGCATCGGACAAGATCTAGAAATTGTGCTTTTGAATGATGGCGTTGGTGAAGAACACTGGATATACCTTGGGCTGCTAGAAAAATGAATAGATTTGTTTTGTAAGAAGTGAGGATTGTACTTTGGACCTGTTATCAGGAGGGAGACCTCATACTGACTAAAGTAGGGGTGTGAGAAGAAGGAAGACCCTCAATGGGGTGGAGTGACACAGTAATTGGTGAAGCACAGCAGAGACTGTGAGGATGGCTTAGGGTTGGATGGTGTTTTGTTCTATTGTATAGGGGTCAGTATGACTTAGAACCAACACTTAACAAGTTGTGACAGAAACTACCTTGAGCCTTTTGGAATTTGGGGTAAGGATGGGTCCCACTAGGCTCCAAACCTGGATGTCCCTTCCACGTCCTCCCAGCTCATCAACTTACGTGTCTTCAAGGAGGGCTGAGAAGCCTGGGCAGCAGGGAGCTGGAGGTGTGAGGTTCCTCATCCCCTTCTGCCCCCAGATGGAGGTGTTTCAGGCCCTGCAGAGGCTGCACATGACCATCTTCTCCCAGAGTGTGTCCCCCTGTGGGAAGTTCTTGGCCGCTGGCAACAATTATGGGCAGATTGCTGTCTTCAGGTACGTGGGACCCCTGCTCCCTTGCACTCACTTGCCCTGGCATGAGGCCCTCCTGAAACTCATGCCCTTACTGCTGGTTCCTGGGCATCCTCCCCTCTATCTCTCTCTCCAGCTTGTCAGCTGCTTTGAGCTCTGAGGCAAAAGAGGAAAGTAAGAAGCCGGTGGTGACCTTCCAAGGTGCGTGTGCTGTCTGTTGGCTCTTGCTTTGGGGATCCCCACTGGTGGTGTGGGCTAAGTGTTTGGCTGCTAACCGAGAAGCTAGTGATTTGAACCCACTGTTGGCTCTGAGGGAGAGATGAGGCCATCTGTCCCTATAACTGTTTACAGCCTTGGAAGCTCTTGGGGGCAGTTCTTTGTCCTGCCAGTCACTGTAAGTTAGAATGGACTCCACAGCAGTAGGTGGATGAAAGAAGGTGTGTGGTGGAGTCACTCAGGTTGTCCTTCCCTCCAGCCCATGAGGGGCCAGTCTACAGCATGGTGTCCACTGATCGGCAGCTGCTCAGTGCTGGAGACGGAGAAGTGAAGGCCTGGCTGTGGGCAGAGATCCTAAAGAAGGTAGGGAGTGAGAGTGGGCCCGGGGGAGGGCTAGGTGTCCAGGCCTGGGATGAGCCTACCTTGGAGGTGACATGGTGTTTCTCTCTCATGAAGGGCAGCAAGGAGCTGTGGCGTCGGCAGCCCCCATACAGGTGAGCCAGAGCCATGTGGTTGGGGACTCCTGGGTATGGAGGTATCCTCAGGCTAAAGCTGATCCTGCTTTTCCTCCCTCAGGACCAGCCTGGAAGTGCCAGAAATCAATGCTTTGCTGCTTGTCCCCAAGGTCTGGGATCCCTAAGCCCTTAGCGATGGGCTTGGCTTTGCCCTGCCCTGCTTCGAACATGGGTCCTTCCCTGGTGACTCCCTGCCCTGCCCTGTCTTCATCTGCAGGAGAACTCTCTCATTCTGGCTGGAGGCGACTGTCAGCTGCATTCAATGGACCTCGAAACTGGGGCCTTCACAGTGAGCAGGGCCCCACACAGGGGAGGGGGATGGAGAGATTGGCTGCTTTGCCCACCCCTGACACAGCCCTTCTCCCAGCGGGCCCTCCGTGGACACACAGACTACATCCACTGCCTGGCACTGCGCGAGCGGAGCCCCGAGGTGCTGTCGGGTGGTGAGGACGGTGCCGTGAGGCTTTGGGGTAAGAGGCTGACTGGTTGGGGGAATAGATGACAACAGGGAGGCTGGGTTGGAGATGGTATCATTCAGGTTCCCTTCACAGACCTCCGCACAGCCAAGGAGGTGCAAATGATTGAGGTCTACAAGCATGAGGTGAGCCCATTCCTTGTTCTCCCCTTCCCTGCACCAAACCCTACCAGCCCTGCTACCCCCAGGCCCATTCCTCCTTCAGCCCCGCTCCTCCTCCCCACAGGTCTGCTCCCCCCCATTCACAGTCCTTCTCCTCCCTACATAGTTCTGCTCCCCCCTCACAGCACCACTCCCCCCATCTATTCCCTGCAACAACCCCACTCCTAATGCCCCAACAGGTCTCACCCCCAGCCCCACTCTTCCTCCCCAAGATCTGTTCCTGCCTCACAACCCTGCTTCCTCCCCCACAGGTCTCCGGCACCAGCACCCACAGCCCTACTCCTCCATACTAAAGCCCTGCCCCCTCCCCCAGCCCTGCACCTCTCCCATAACTCTGCTCCTTTCTCTCTCCTCCAGGAGTGCTCCAGGCCACACAATGGACGCTGGATTGGGTGCTTGGCAACTGACTCAGATTGGATGGTAAGTGGGTAAAGAGTGAGATGGGGTGGGTGACCTGTCAGGGGGTTCATGGCTCAGGGCAGCTGTCCATCGCCCCTTTTCTGGCCAGGTCTGCGGAGGTGGTCCAGCCCTCACCCTCTGGCACTTGCGCTCCTCAACGCCCACCACTGTCTTCCCTATGCGGGCTCCACAGAAGCACGTCACCTTCTATCAGGACCTGGTGAGGCCAGTCTCCATCTGCTTCTGCCACCTCTCCCTGGCTCCCACACCAAGCCTGACGTGACCCTCCTGTGCTCCCCAGATTCTGTCTGCTGGCCAGGCCCCATGCGTCAACCACTGGCAGCTCAGTGGGGAGCTCAAGGCCCAGGTGCCATGCTCGTCCCCAGGGCTGCTCAGCCTCAGCCTCAACCAGCAGCCAGCAGCCCCCGAGTGCAAGGTGGGTCCCTCAGGGACAGGAGTGATGTGTAGGAGGTGATGTGGTGGGGGATGTGGAAGGGGATGATGTAAAGGAGGTGATGTGGGGGTGATGGTGATGTTGGAGGTCATGGATGATTTGGGGAATGATGGAGGGTGATATGGTGTGGGGGTGGTAAGGTGAGGGGAGGTCATCGGTGATGTGGGGGGTGATGGTGATGTGGTTGGAGGTGATGTTGGGGGTGTTAGTAGGGGGAGATGGAGATGTGGGAAGTGATGGGGTCATGTGACGTGAGTAATATGACAGGTGCTGATGTGGGTGATGTAGGGGTGGTCTGGTAGTGGTGATGTTGGGGTCAGTTGGGGAATGATAGTGAGATTGCTGTGGGGGTAAGGTAGAGGGTGACATGGGGAGTGATGGTGATATAACTGGTGACATGGTGGGAGGTGATACGGGGGATGTGGGCATAGTGACGTGGAGAAGATATGGGGTGATTACATGGTTGGGGGTGATGTGGGGATGACATGGGGGTGATGTGATGGGAGTGATATAGGGTGATGATGTGGTCGAGGGTGATGTGGAGGATGGGGATGACATGGGGGAGGAGGTAATAGGGGAGTTGTGGGGATGATGGGGGGACAATGTGGTTGGTGGTGATGTGGGAGGAGGTGATGTGAGGGGTGATTTGGTGAGGATGACATGGGAGTGATGATGTGGGGAGTGGTAATATGGGGGTGTTGTGGGGATTACATGGGAGTGATGATGTGGGGGTGGTTATGGGATGACATAGGAGTGGTGATGTGTTCAGGAGTGATGTGGGAAGAGGTGATGTGGGGATGACGTGAGGGTTGTGATGTGGTGGGAATGACATGGGGGAGGTGATGTGGTGGGAATGACATGGGGGGTGGTGATGTGGGGGGGGTGACATGGGGGGTGGTGATGTGGGGATGACATGAGGAGTGGTAATGTGTTTGGGAGTGATGGGGGGGTGATGTGGGGGTGTGTGAGCAGGGCCCTCACACACTTCTAGTCTCCAGGTCCTCACAGCTGCCGGCAACAGCTGCCGAGTGGACGTCTTCACCAACCTGGGCTACCGCGCCTTCTCTCTGACCTTCTGAGTGCCCACACCTCTCCCAGAACTTATTTTTTAATATACAATAAGCACAGTTTTTCATGTTTGTTTCCTTCCCAAGAATGGAGGCTATACAGATGTGGTGAATTATATATATATTACTCTGTCCATACATAAATACCCACCTTCCACCCTGCCTGGGAGAGGGCCCAGACTCATAGATGCACAAAGTAGCCCTGCTCCGCCACCCACCTAGGGGCCTGGCCCCCCAAGCTGGCATCTGCTTCCGGTGAGCTCCCACCCAGCTTTCAGGGTGCAGGATACACAAGCCCCTATCCTGGAACATAATCCTGGTTGTGGCCACCTCGGCCAGAAGAGGAAACTGACCACCCGTCAGAACAAGGGCGGCAGCCCCATGCGCTCAGGTCCTCCGGAAGAGGCTGAGGAAGCCACCTGCGGGCCCCGGGCCCAGGCGCCGCAAGAAGCGCGATGAGCTGCTGCGGGACGAGGCAGTGGAGGCTGCGGCGGCACTCAGCTCCTTCTGGCGCTGCCAGCGCAGCTGCTGCCCGATCACCACCTGCATGTCATCCTGGGGGGTCGGAGGGATGGTCAGCACGCTGGACCGGCCCTCCTGGCCCTGCCCCCGAGGCCCCGCCCCTCACCTGCCAGGCTTCCAGCTCCTGTGTCAGCGCCACCTTCTGACGGATGGCGCGCAGCAGCTCCCGGGAAAGGGAGTCCCGCTCCAGTGAGACACTGCTGAGCTCCAGGGACAGCTCTAGGGCCCTGTGGGGCGGGAGAGGGCTTCAGGGAGGCCATGGGGAGGACAGTCTCTATGGCTGCACCTGGCAGGAGGGAGACCGAGGTCAGTCCCCTTGGGTGGGAGCGGGCGGTGGTTGTGGAAGGCTCACTTGTTCACAGCCTTGTCCCTGTCAGAGAGGGCGCTACTCAGGGCTGCCCCCGGGTCCTGCTGCTCCCTCAGCTCCTTCTGCCGCTGCAGCTCTTCCCGCAGGGACTGCAGCTCTTCCCGCTGCAGTGCCACCTGCAGAAGGGGGAGGTAGGCAGGCTGCTGAGTTTCCCAGCTTCCACTCCTAGGGCTCCCCTAGGATGGTATATGTGGGGGTGGGGAGTGGCAGATGCTGCAGGAGCAATGCAGGAAGAAGCACAGTGGATGGGACTAACGGCTGAACTCGCAGCCCAGGAAGTCTTCCTGGAAGAGGTGGCATAGAAGCTGCCTCCAGAAGCGTGCCTGCTGCTGTGTGTGGATAAAGGGTGATCCTAGTGGAAGGGGCTTAGTGGACAAAGACTGACAGGAAGAGATGAGAGGGACAAGGTGAATGCGAGGGGAGGTTCCACATGAAGCCAAATACCCTCTTACTTCATCTTGGAGCCTGGCCACTTCTGCCTCCCTCTCCTCCAGCATATCCGCTGGGTTCAGGGTTGCCCGCTTCTTGGGGGGCTCCAAGCTCTCCACCTGGAGCGAAGGTTGTGGACTGGATGCCTTTTGGGTACTTGGGGACAGGGACGTCTGCAGGACAAAGGAATCATTCCAATGGCATCAAACCTTATGGGACCATGAGTGGAACCTTCCCTAGATGGCACTCATGGGGGCCGGTTGGGGGCTTACCGGGGCATCTCTGTGTCTGTCTGTGCCCTGGTCTTGATCGCTCTCGAGGCTGTGGGCAAGCTCAGACTGCAGGGAGGCACCTGACACATCAGCGTCCTGGAAGCGGGACTCCTCCTCCAGTTCGGACACCCTTCGCTGAAGCCGCCTCAGTGCACTCAGAGCCTCCCCAGCCTCGAAGTGTGCGCGCTCCAGCTGTGGTAGGGCAGATGGACAAACAGGTCAGGGCAGGCAGTGAGCTAAGTACACTGGTACCTGAAGTCCGGGGCACCTGCAGGGAAAGCTGCCTGTGTCCGGCCTCTAGGCCCGCCTACCCACTGCCTTTCAGCTTAAGCCTTGGGCCAGGTTCCGACCAATAAAGTGGGGTGAGGCCGGCTGTCCTCTCTGTAGTCTCCCATTCTCTTTTACACACCCTCACCTTTAACTCCTGGCATTTATTGATCTTTAGCCAAATGCGTCTGGGCGTTAGCCCAGTCAGGTAGTTACCATTAGCGTCCCATCTCACAGATTGGGAAATGTAAGCTCAGGTGCCCCATACCAGTAAGCATGGATATAGGAGTAAGTCTCCAGGCACTGACCGAAAGCGCAGACTCAGGAGACCTCAAATGACAGTGTGTGCGGTCACTCTACATTCCTTTCTCTCCAGTTCCTGTGGCCCACCTCTCCGTTCTCTGGCTTGACCCTTACCTCAGCTTCCCTCTAGGCCTCCAACTCTCAACTGGACATACTCAACTCCAAAAGCAACCCTCCCCTGCTCTAAAGCGTGCCCCTGCTCTGTGGCCCCCTGTCTGGGCTCCTGGGCACCCGCCCACCCCCATCTAGTGTTCGTTTACCTCCAGGCTGTGCTCCCGCTTCTCTCGCTGCAGCACCAACAGCTCCTCTCGGGTGGCCTGCAGCCGGTCCTGGCCCTTCTTTGCTTCCTCACGCAGGTCTCGGATCTGCGCCTCCAGGTCTTGCCTGCGACTCTGCAGCATTTTGTTCTGGGGAGAGGCCACCAGGCTGGGGAATACATCCACACCAGCGGAAGAAG